GACCGTGGGGTGCGTGAGGGAATGGTGATGGCTGCGGGCACCTCTGGCTGGGCGAGCTGCAGCGCCCCGGGGAGGCGAGCTGCAGCGGCTGGGGCGGGGGGGGGCAGGTACTGTTAACAGCGCCCGCTGTCTCTTGCAGGCCCCCTCAAAACAGACTGTTAGCCCTCACAGGCCCTGGTGGAGGTAGAGGGCGTGGGAGCTTATTGCTAAGGTAAGGAGCCGCAGAAACGGGCGGGGGGGTTCCTCTGCCCTTTACGCTGGCATTGGTTTGCTGTCCTTACACCGGGGTGTTTGATATTTCTCGTCGGACCCCGTTGCTCATCATACTGCTGTTTCAGTAGGCAGGCACCACAGCTGGCCTACAGGGCATATGGGGTTTTATGTCACAGCCTGACACTTGAAGTATCTTCTCATTCTGAGTTACAACAGGTTTAAACTGGTGGTTTTCCCTAACCCTTTCAGCCATTAGTCTGAAAAATAAGGGGGGGGCATCAAAGTTAAGGGAGGTGTTGTCTGGTATCTGGGACTTTATCTGTTTGACATCGTCCAAAATTGGTCTCTCGGTAATTAAGAAGCTGGTAGGTTTTCCAAGAAGAATAGAAAGAGTTGAAGTCAACAGGAGTTTTAAAACATGTAGGTAAAACCACTAGTGTTTTGTTGTGGGTTTTCCTACACCACCACCCCCATCTCAAGTAGAATGAAAAGGCCAATTTTTTTTCAGTAGTTCTTTTTTAATGGAGTATGTAGTGGATTTTTTGTCAAATTTCACTATTACATTGCTGATTAAGACGTGTAGTACATCTTGAAAATTACTGCAACTATGAACACTTGAACATAATGGGGCTCCTTGTTTGAGTGTAGCTGCTCAACTGAATAAGTGCAGAAATTCAATTTTAAATTAGTTGGTCCACAAGTAGTATGTTTAAACACTTTATTGCGGTAGTAAGAGTAAATGATGATAGAGCTGCTTTAAAATTGATTGTTATGTCATGACCACAAAGCCAAAATACAGTTTGATTATGCAGGCTTAAGTTGGACCTGGGGCTAACCTACCTTGTTCTGAGATCACAAGTCTTTTCTTTTTAGGCGTGGATTCTCGGATAGCGGAGGAGGACCCCCAGCCAAACAGAGGGATCTTGAAGGGGCAGCCAGTAGGTGGGTGCAAAAACTAATGCAGAGAACTTGCTTTATCAGAATGAGAATTTATAACGGTAAATTTAAAATACTTAGATTCAATAACTGTTAATAACTGATGACTTTCGCTGTCTTCTTCAGAGATTACATATTCAAGACTGGTTGGAAATATATTTGGATGATAGCAGTTGACTGTGGTGAAACTTTGTTTTTCATACCTTATAGCAATATAAAGATTATAGCAGTAATATAAAGGTATAGCAATACAAAGATTCTTGGAATTTTCTGTTTTACTTAGTTTACAGTCTGCTATATTATATTCTGCTTAGTAGCCCAGATTTGTTTTATAGTAGACACAAATTGAATTATGATTGAGATCTCCCGTTAAATAAATTGGATGTGTACAGTGTGACAATAGACTCAGATTTTGAGCTTTCACTTCTGGATGCAGATCCGTCAGATGTGACTGATTATAGTGAGCTTCATTCTGTAGGCACTTGTGTGCAATGGTAGTCCTTGACTAAAGCAAGGCTTGCCTTTGAATTTTGGAGTTAACACAAAATGAATACTGTGAAACAGCTTTACCAGTGGTAAAGTGCTGTGCCACAAAGCTGAAGGTGAAAGACGAAAATAACTTTTAACACATTGCCTAGTTCTTTGTTAAAGCCTCAGTTCATCCAAGTTCTCAGGTCCTAGGTGCTCTGCCCCTCCTCACCTGTTTTCTAGGTATTTGGCTAGGTAACTTAAAGAGCATTTCCCATTTGCAAAATCATACCAACCTTTGTATCTTAATGCATTTAAATCTGTCTCGCGATCCCCTTATACCAGTAGCCATTTTGGAGATTCTGGAAAAAGAAAAGTGCAAACATGAAAAACAAGAAATAAATTCCAAAGGTATTCTGAAAAGTCAAATATGGTAGTAATGTGGGCTCTTCTGGTTTACTTTACTGTGCCAGTTGTATTAAAACTCAAACTGTTTCCTCTCACTGATTTTTACCAACAGTAGATTATGTTTGTAAAATGCTACTTACTGGTCATTGGACCAGTGGGGAGATTTTTACTGGAAGCGTTTGTTCTTCTGCCTAGACATGCTGACTTGTATTTTTCTCGTGTTAGAACAGATGCTGTCCTAAATATATGTTCTCTAGTGACCACTAATGCTTTTTCTTCCTCAGGCTGGGTGGAGAACGTCGGACAAGAAGAGAATCACGCCAAGAAAGCGACGCAGAGGATGATGACATTAAAAAGGTAATACATGATAAATGGAGCTGTGCAGGAAGAAGCTTATCTGGAACATGAACAAAGTAGTTTGTTTTTCTTTGTTGTAGCCAGCGTTGCCATCTTCTGTTGTTGCTACCTCCAAAGAGCGAACACGTCGAGACCTTATACAAGATCAAAATATGGATGAGAAAGGAAAACAAAGGTATACAGAAATCTCTTTTTAAGTGCTAACGTGGTACTTCCTTGTGCTGGCATAGGAAGTAGCTTTAGATTTTAAAAGTATTATACAGATGCAATTATGTATCAAAGATGATGTTGAAGAGGTACCATAATGTATAAAATTTATTTTAAAAAATATTCTCTTAAATACTTCGCAACGGTAACAACACATCGTTCACACACAACAGGGGTTCTGCTTCTCAGGCCACCTACAGGAATACGTTTGCTAGTGCTTTTGTAACTGATCATCTTTGAGTAAGACAGAAATATATATAGCTTCATTGGTTACTTATCATTTTGGACTGTTACAACTGTCTTGGTACATCACTTATTTTGTTGGTTGAAGGAGGCTTTTGGGCGTGGGTGTCCCCCCCCTTTTTTTTTTTTAACGCAGTAGTTCCATCATGAGTTTCTTTTATTACTTTCAGACTCATTATTGTGTGTACAGTCTGACCTTCCTTTTGCCTGCTGCTTTTTAGATTCTTCCTATGTATATCTCCTTTTTCCTATATTATATTTGTGCCAGGGTGGCGCATAAAAGTTATCGCTGAGGTGCAGTTCTGTTGGGAAGAGGTGTTGGAAAAGCAAATTTGCAACTGTGTCCAACCTCTTGGACTCCATCCACTTCAGTCTGCAGCTCACCTGGTGCAATAAAAACCCATACCTCAAATAAATAGGAGAATGGGAGCTGGAATAAAGAACTATAGAGAGCTTCTCTGATAAGG